CCGTAAAAAGTCTATGGCTTTATCATAGTTTGCTTCAGCTACGTTGAAGCGGCGCACTGATTCTCTTGCTTCCCCTCGCAGCGCAGAAATCAAGTAATTCAATTTCTGAAGATTCGTAAGGAACTGATTATGAACATTTACTTCAGAGAGCGTCCAGAAATTTCAAGTTCCCATATCTTGCCACTGAAGGTGGGAATAGGGATGGCCGGTAGTTTATGTATCAGGGTTCCACCGATGTTTGTGGCGCTCTGAACTGTGAGTTATTGAAACTCCTTCCTGGTCCCTCGAAGATCTCCATTGCGCTTATTCTCTTTNGCGAATTCGGTTCTCTACCAGAACTCCCGCATTCCCGTGCTTCGGTGAGGAATCCAACTAAGTACGATTTGAGTATCGGAGGATATATATATGGTCTCAGAAGAGGAAGATTTCATTGACTTCAAAGCTTGAAGGATGGAGTGTGCCAGGCGCATAGCCATGGTGACCGCATTCATTTCAAGTTTGCGTATGGTTGTCTTCATTTTTATGGAGGGAAGCTTACTCTTAGCCATAATTAGTGTTGAGTCCTTTGAGTGGACCAGTTAAGCGCACACCGCCAGCGCTATCTCACTTGCATCTGCAAATATGGCTAATTGCGGTTTGTCAGGATTGACACTAAATCGCCTTGGAAATGTTCGATTGAACTCGTTTATATTCTCAACAATATTGCCCCATACTTGGCGCAACTGAACGGGAAGTTCCACGTCCCATTGTAACCTTCGCCTCCATAGGTCTTGCTGACTTTTTTGCCGGAGTAATTAACGGGACAAGCCAGCCGAAGGGATCATATATGGAGGCTATTTGACGGGCAACTATTCTTTTTGTGATGGTATCCGATGGAGGCAGAGAACAGCCAATAGTGAGACAGTCATTCTCAGCGTTCCATATGATATCCAGTACCTTCTTCGGTGGAGGCGTAGCGCATGCTTCTTTTGGTAATTCACTGCGCAACGATGTATCATTGTAAGTAAATTCTCTCGAGTTCATTCCCATTTCAGAAAATATATTTCGTGCCTTTAATGATTTTTGTAGAATCTCGTCCGGAGTTCTACCTGCGAGGACAAGGTTGTCGACATATAAATTTTCTCGAATTTCGTTTGCTAACTCGCCAACGGAAACGGCGCACCGTGGGTGATGATGGATAGTCCCTCCCAGCAAATATGGGAGAGAGTATGGGGAAGCATTCGAGCCAAAGGTTACTCGCGTGAAGCGATATAATATTATATTATTATCATCTAACGGTGCATTTACGTCGCGTATCCAGAGAAAGCGCGTATATCTCGATCAGACTCTTGTAGTGAACTTGTAAAAAGGCTTTTTCTACGACAGAAATCGCCTCGTAAGGAGGAATTCGAAAGCCTAGTAAGATGGCATATAATGCGAGCAAAATTAGTGGACCTTCATAAAATATATCATTTAGCGCACTCTTTGAAATGTGCGCTAGCGTCAAAAACAATTCGCAGTTTTGTTGTTTCTTTTTGAGGAGTAACTACGGGTTGATGTGGTATATAGTGAATCAAGGAACCTTCTTCCGAAGAACCATCAATGACCGCTTCGATAATACCCTTCTCCTCCTGGGTTGCGAAGATTTTTTTGTATTCTGCTAGGAGCTCCAGTGTCTTTTGAAGCATTAGAAATGCTGAGCGCAAGCGTTTCAGTGCAATCGCCTTGTTGGATGGCAGTAGAGGGTGATTCTTTTTGAAGGGGAACCATATGTAGTAACCGTCAGGGCGCTTTTGTATGGTGTCTTCAGAGCAAACCTCCTAATTCACCGCATCCTTTTCCGCGTTTTTTGTGCCAGTAAACTCGCATATCCCCGCAGAGTCCATAGTCCAGTATTTATCCCACCTATCTATATCCTCTTCGGAGTTGATTTCCAGGCTGGTAAAATTGTTGATGGTGATGGGTCGTCCACTGACGCTTCCTTCGACTACTTCTTATAGGGAGATTTTCATTTCGTTTACCATCTGCTTTCCAGTCAGCAGCTAGCCAATTTAGAAGGAATCAGATGAAGTCCTGATGGCAGGGTATAGTGAGGGTGCGATTCATCCAACAACTTCCATAGCTGGTCGCAGCCAATTAGAATTTGAGGCTTGGATATACTCTCGTGATGTGCTTAAGATAAGCGAATGTGTCGCTTTTCAATGAAAGTCAAATCATCAGGGGTAAGGTGTGCCTTTTTATCGGCTGTGATGATAAATAGAAAGGCGTGTAGGTGCATTTCGTGCTTGGTCCCACCTTTGTCCCAAAGCTCCAACGTTGTCCTGTTACATACCACATGTTTAGGTTGGTGGGTGCCGAACGTGTAAACATGAAAATTTTTCGTTGCTGTGCGCACGAGACCTAGTTCGTCAGCCAGCTCATCACTTATGAAGGACTCGTCTGCCCACGTGTCAAATGTGATTTCTATATCCTTTCGTTGATGTCGTGCCGTATCTCTTACTTGTGCTACTCCCGTCAGTAAGAGAACATTGCTATTCGTGCGCTCAGAAAGATTCCGTCGTTCTTGTAGAGCGTCATAATCCCGCAGAGAGGCAAGGACTGTGCCCGCATCGGAAAAGTGCCATTTACTTGCTTTGCAATCGCGGTATCTTCAAAGGAACCAACTTCGAATGTATGTGCGTTAGCTCGATTAGGTTTCTTGAGTCGGTGCTCTTCCACATTTCTAGGCGGCTGTTGCTGTTGCTGATCTGAAAGTATCCTTGACCCCGTTGAGGAGTACGTCTTTCGGGGTGATGATGATTGCTGGAGCGAGGCTGAAGGGTATTTGCGAACCCTCAAGGGACATAGGGTGTGGTGGTGTTTCTTTCCACCACAGTTTTTACAGCCCTCTTTGACAATTGGTAAGGAAATGGCCAACTGTTCCACAGTTGAGGCAACGGTTGGTGTTTCGAAAGAGTTTACTACGCTCTTCTATAGTGGTATATTTGGTGCATGCTACTGACTTATGGCTGGGAGCGTTACAAAAAAGGCATGGCGCACCTACAAAGTCGGTCTTCTGAGGAGGCGCGTTAGCAACTCTTGTTGCACTAACTCTGTTGTGAACGGGGTTTTTGTTTACCATATGGCTGATACGCTCTTCTGCGGTTATAATTTGCCTAACTCGGTGAGAATGTCAATTAGAACCCAAGAGTGCTCTTGAGTGGAATCATTAATACACCGCTCAAGAACTTTCCTTTGGAGATCTATCTTAAATTTTGATAGCACTTTTTGGCTTAAATAGGAGCCATTCAAAAATACCCCTTTATCTCCTAATTGGACTGCTATCGGCATCACAGTGTGAAGTAGTCGCCGCTGTTCTTCGAGGCTCAAACTTTCAGCGCGAGCGCCTTCAAGGCGCATCTGTAAGCTGTCGATGAGACGTGACTCATCACCATACTTTTTCCGTAAAAAGTCTATGGCTTTATCATAGTTTGCTTCAGCTACGTTGAAGCGGCGCACTGATTCTCTTGCTTCCCCTCGCAGCGCAGAAATCAAGTAATTCAATTTCTGAAGATTCGTAAGGAACTGATTATGAACATTTACTTCAGAGAGCGTCCAGAAATTTCAAGTTCCCATATCTTGCCACTGAAGGTGNGAATAGGGATGGCCGGTAGTTTATGTATCAGGGTTCCACCGATGTTTGTGGCGCTCTGAACTGTGAGTTATTGAAACTCCTTCCTGGTCCCTCGAAGATCTCCATTGCGCTTATTCTCTTTGCTTCCAGTTCGACGGCTGTACTTTGCGCGTTATCGATGCATTCCTGCGCCCGTTCAATGTAAGCATTTGCTTGATCGAGTTGCTCCTGCGCTAAAGTGTCCGCAAGGGAATCGGTCAATCCTGTGAAGTCCAGTAGAGCTTCGGAAACGAGTTGAGAAGTAGCATTGAGCCTCAAAACCCATTCCTTAGTTTCGGGTGCTCTCGCCATTGAGGCGGGACCTTCTTGACACCTTTTATAGTCCTCATACTGCTTTAGTAATGATTCGATTTTGTTGCAATAACGCGTAAGTAAACCCTTCTTTGAACTTAACACTGCTGGGCCGACCATAATGCAACAAAGAGGTTGGTAATGCGCAGAAAGAAAAAAAATGAGAAATTCTCTAAATCAAAATGTGTCTTAGATTCTTGACTAAAAAAAGTCAAGAAGACGATAGAAGACGAATAATGGATCAGAATCCAATAAATTGTGAAAAGAAAGGAAGAATTTGCAAGTCATTGGCGCAACTTGATTTCTTCCACTATTGTACAGAACAAAGAATAATCCGGCCTGTTTCCTTTTCGAGTTCAGTTGAATAACGGCCGATGCACCATTTACAAGTGGTTCTTTGCCACGCGGTTATACGACAATAAGTTCCACCAAAATCCGTTGACCACACGTTTATTGGCGCTATGCGCACAATCCTCAAACTTGGGTAGTTAAACCTCGTAATACAATAATAAAATCGACCATTGAGCGAAAGAAACAGTCAATCACAATATTAACCGATACTCAGAGGAACGGCACTAAGTGAGAAGGATGAGAGAATTCTGGGAAGATTAAAGCCTGAATTAGATCTGCCAGTTAAAGAGAAATCCGAAGCACAAGGCGCACATTGACGGAGGGAGGAAATGAGCGCACGTCGGTCGCAGTTCCCATGGTTGAAGCTAAAAGATATGTATTATTGATAAGCTGGGTTTTGCTTTTCATTTCTTTAGCCTTTCTCATGGCTTAGCGCATTCCAATCTTTCCTGGGAACTGATCGCGTGGAAACCGCGATATTGCACGAAGGTATCCTCCTCCATTTCTTCCCAGCTGTTCTTGAATCTTACTAGGGCCTAACTGAGACTGCAAAACTTACACGTCCTCTTATCAGGGACTATACGGAAGAGCCAAGTGAGTGAAGGTTGCAAAGGCTGATTTGTAATCCCTATTGCTAATGAAGTCGGGCGACTAGCGTCGACACTACTACCGGGCGAGCTTGGCTCTGTAGGCTGGAGTACCGTTCTGTTGGAAGGACTGTTCCAGGAAACGGAGTCAAATCAATGCTTCAGTACGTCGATCAGTATGCTTTCTAAGCACACGACCTTGTGTGACTTTCCACGCTGGTACCGACTGAACCAACGGCGTCTCACCCTTGCCAGTGACTCGCTAAAAAAACATCATTTTGCTGTTCTTATGGCGACTTTTTTGTGAGAGATTGCAGGTTCGATGATTATAGCCAGAGTGTGATTGTTTTGTCTCTTGAAAGTGGTTTTCTCATTAAACTTGTTCAGTCCGAAAAAACAACGAAGGGTTGCGTGTCACCTTGTAAGTACGTCGGTAACTGTCTGCATTTTTTAACCCCTCACTGTCCTTGGATTGGGAACTAGTGGCATTTCTGCATAAGATTGGAATTGCAATGAAGCTCCTGCTAAACAATCCGTTCCACCGAGAATTCGATGAATCCTGCTCTTTTGCACCTTTTTGGTGGGTCAACTAGGATCACGAACGGCGCACGAACGGACCACTTTAATTGTACTAACTTTAGGAACGCTGGTCTTTCTACCCCTTCCTGATTCGTTTTCGATCGAATCCTCTTTTCTGTATCGTATAATAACCTGTTCGGATATTATAGAAATCACAAGGAATTTCATGCCTTCTCGCCTCTCGCATGCTCATGACTGCGAGCGGTGTTGAATGAGCCACGGCCACCTGAAAAATATTGGAAGTTTAACGTTGTTAAAATTCTTCTGCCGTTCGAGATTTTTAGATGGAACCCTTTACTAAGTTAGCGGCCTAACGTTTCGACGTAATCGTTCTTCAGTGGCCTAAACGCAATTCGAGATGTTTTACAATATCTGATAGCGTTTGACTCTCTAGCAAGAAAGACAGAATCTTATCGGAAAACTACTCACTTCATGAAATGCTCAACCTCCACCGTTAAAGCGGATAGAGTCCGCCGTCGCCACATGCGAATGTCAGTGTGAACGGGACTTATTGATGTCTCTATTATACTGATGAGCGAGATCGTATTACGATGCTGCTGGCCACGAGTCATAGCTCGCAGAACGGTAAGTATGGCAAGAGGTCACTGGTTATGAATGAACACTCATCTCTGTTGCTCGTCCTGGGATTCCTTTGCAGAATCTAGAACGACTATAATGCCTTTCTGATGAAATTTCCGTCCCCTGCCCTGATACCGGGCACTTCACTTCAAAATTTTCGCCGTTGTGCTCCTCAACTTTATGTCGACGCTGTCAAAATGTTTCTGCGCAACATACTAGCTAAATTTTATTCTATTCGTATATCTAGTCGTCCTGTCTTGCCAATAATAAGTGCCCAATCACCTGCTTTCCGGTAGGGGCTATGGTACAGTCGTTTGTTGAGCACTGTTTATCGTAGAGCCTATTTCAAATCAACTGTTGCTTGATCTTGTTGTTAGGTATAATCATCAATTGAACAACATCTTGCAGGTCAGCCTGGGAATGCTCTGTCGTATTGCAGTGCAGTTGTATTCATCGGAAAAAGACAAAGTGGTAATTTCGTAATGCGCGAAAACCCTCGCGTGTTGGAGCGCCGCTTTCCACGGCTCTGCTGTACCGTATAGCCATTATCAGTAGCTATCTCTCAAGCTCGTGACTCGCAAAGCTCAACTTCGCCCTTGCAGATACTTGTTGCCGTTCTCAGCATGTTGTTGACGAATGCACGTTTGACGGCTTGTGGATGAGCTGATGTAGCGTGAATTAGGATATTCTTCGAACTAGCTTCACGGTACCACTTTACACTAGCAACGCCGCTGAACACTTTGACTTGTGTGTTAAGATAAGGGAGCCAACAGTTATGTGGTAATAAGGGAGCCAACCGTTATTTGGTATCTCTAGTGTGAGTTTAATGTACCGTGACGTTTATTCATAAGTCGTTTTCACTCGTCTATTTCGGATTGTGTAGACGTCACGATGAAGCAGTCGTCGATATACATATCTGCAGTACATTGAAGGATGGCGTTCCAAAACTGGGCTCTTCAATCCTCCCCATACAACAAACCGCATGAAGTGGAGCCAGACGTACTAACGTCATTATATTCATTTTACTAAGTCCAAAGGTACTAATATTATTAGCATGCCTATTTAGCATTTCGGATAATGCTTGTGAGGCCTGCTCGTTTTGAACATTACTATAACGCGAAACAACGTCAAGAGATTCATTTAAGTTTTCCCCTTCAAAGTTGGAGGTGTGTAATAGATCAAGGAAATGCTTAGTACTGGACAGGTGAGATAGAACCAAGGTCAACAGCTGGCCTACAATCTTATTAAGGAACCAGGAAATTCTATCAACTGTTTCTCCCACACAACTAATGATGGGACGAATTTTATAAGTGTCCGGTCATGCTGACAGCATATCAGTGTAGGAGAGTTTTGCGTCTTCATGATGCTATAAAAACTGGATTTGGAAAAAATTTAGACGATACAGTTTGAGTCTACTGACCAAGTTCCCATCAATACCGCAGATTTAGCGGCGTTCAACAAAATATGATTGAGGCGGCTGCATTGTGATGAGAAGTTTTTTTCCAGTGACGCGGCAGTAAACAGGGGAGTCGCCGACATGGCGTTCGGTTATGGCTTGATCAGGTAATTGCAACATACCGACGAACTCACCACCTTTATCACTAGTCGTATGCGTCGGGTATCATTTGATCTTAACTCGCGTAATTCTTTCAACCCTTGCCGTAAATTGTACGTCAAGTTCGTCTTCCGGTCTTCTGTAGTCTGTGTTGAACACACTTAGGACTCCTGCAGATAATATACTAAACATAACGTCAGCCTCAGCACTGGAGGGGTTCCTCATAAAAATGGTGCTGAAACTGTTAAGCCACGATTAGGATTGGAAATTCCAGCAACTCATGATCCTGTCTGCTTTTAGTGAACAGTGGATCTCTTAAGCTCTGATGACCAACAACTTTGCGGAACGTAAGTGTATTTATGTTTTGTGCAAGCGAGAAAGACGGGCCTAAGTTTAACACCTCTATCGCTAGCGCACTTGAGGAGAGCTGGGTGTCGCCGAGTGCTGTATCCCGTGCCATATCACCATCGCCTTGATCTTTACTGGTCCTGTGAAGATTACTAGCGGTCACGAGAGTTTCCATGACGAGTTGTCCACAGCTTGTCGTATTTTGCGTATAGAGTTGACTTCGTCGCGGATCGGATAGAATTGCAAATGCGTCTCGACTCACCCTCAGTCCTCCTCCAAGACTGATTAGGCAGGGGACGCTGGGAAGCTTGTTCTTTTGACATACAGTATCGTTCAAAAAGAAATCACCTTCTCTGCTATAACTCATCTCAAACTTAATCTTTTTACCTGATTTTTTGACAGCACACTTTTCAAACATTACCGACTTTCCTGCGACGCAGCATTAGCGGTAGCTCACTTACGGCCGAATAGGTGAATTTTTTCAAAAAAACGTGCGAGAGGGCATGTTCTCTAGGTATGTTTCATTGTGTTTTTCAAGTCTAGAAATATTGATGATGCTTCTATTCTGTTAGCTGATCGTTTTCATGAAGAGACCAAACTCTGGCTCCCGCTTTCTGACCGTGGAGCAGCTCTCCGCCCCTGCTACGGGCAGTAAGCAGCAATTGACCCATGATCAACATCCAAGGCTGTTTGCTGTACCAATGTCTACGACAACGAAGGCTATCAGAGGTACTGAGTCTCTCATAGGCCCAGTCAAGCGAGCCAGCTCGGGAAGGTTACGGATTGCCGCTCCTGAGGACGATAGAAAGAATATTTGTGCGTCGACTCAAGACTCCAGACGAGCGTCTTCCGATATAATGGCCGAAATATCGACGATGGCGACGTCGCTACCATCTAGAGGTACCATCAACAGACACATGTGGGTTGCTGGAATATATGGAGTAAGACTTGTCAAAGTATCCGGATCTCTGAAAAACAGACGAGTTCGACTTTAATGGGCGCGTGAGCACCTTCACTGGACCTTCAACCAATGACGCGAAGTCATCTAGAGTGACTATTCAAAGATTGTTTGGCTTGGTAAACTTGAGATTCGTTCGTACACGACCTTTGAAAACACAAGT